TCCAGGCTCCGCCGACAAGGCGCGCGGCGTGCCGGTGATATCCAGCGCAGATACGTAGTTGGGATTATTAATAGTCACGCATCTGCTGAGGTAAAGTTGGATTACTACATGTACAATATAATAATTTATACCTGAAGTGTGTCTGCTGGGGTGTGGCATGAATAAATGGTGTCCTGTAGCTGTGTTCTGGGCATACAGCAAACCTGGATATAACGGACTGTTTTGCCAGGTCCTTTGAAGTCCGTTATAACTGGATCTTACTGTATAGGAGGTAAATGCAAATAGACACGTTATTTAGTAGCGTAACCAGTGGATATAAAGCCCCAAAAGAAAGCTGATACATGGAAAAATATCACCTTCTCTGTGAACGCTGTGTGCAAAATAAATATTAATAATCTTCAAACATGCGTTCCCTTCTCAGAGCACGATTGGCAAGCTCTTCAAGAAATGCCATTTTGATAGCAAGGCCAATGCGCAGAAACAGACCTTTTTATAATCCGCATGATCGCCGTTACTACCATGAAAATAGTTTTTACACTTTAAAATTATTTTTTATATTTTACTTTTAGAAATTATTGAAATACTTTAATTTTATGAACTGTAGAATGAACAAAACTGCTATAACCGATTATTTTGAACAAACTATCATTACTCAAATGTGCGTACGAATTGTCTTGAGTGTGCGTAGATTCTGTTCTTAGCTAAGAACAAATTCAGATAAGAAAACAGTGGTGAATGTCAGAATCTTCATTAAAAAAGTGTGTACGTGGGGTTTTTTTCGTAAGAACGGTTGGTGAATGAGGCCCAATGTGTCCAAACTCCTGTGGAACTATATATGAGCTGTACCCCTTTTAAGAATTTTATTTGCAAATTGTTCTAGCACACTGTCATTAATGATAATCTATATTGTAATAGTGATTATAAAATCTTTATTGTTTCTTTGCTGGAGAACTTTAACTTGTATTTTCTGCTGCTCATCAGCCGCCCAATCAATTTTGTACCCTAATAACTCCACAAGAATGCAATATTGACTTCTTATACTGGAACCACCTAAACATTGCTTGCCATCCATCATCCTCTGCATCTTTTGTAGCCCCCATTATATGTTAATTGCGGAATAACGCCTACATTGATTGGTTGAGTTACATATTGTCAGATAGTTGTGTTTATTGACATAGTGGCCCCTTTATTTTAGCTCATTTTGACAAGTGCAGCTTGTCAGAGTGCAATATTTTTTAGCTTAATTGTTCTAATTTATGTGAAGATAAATTCTCACAGTTCTTATAATCTGCCAAAATGTCAGTTGGACTGGTATTGCAATGCTAATTTTTTATATTTCTTCAACCTTTTCCATCTCAGACAGTTTTATGAGTTTATTAAGCCACATACAATGTGATACATACTATGCTGTACTATTTGTACAAGGACAGAGAGACGTAAACATACGATATATGGTTCCATCGCCATCTTATTAAATAGACAATCACAAAGATTAATGAGCTGCAGCCACTGGGAGTTCACCCCCCATAATTCATTTTCTGAAATAGGCTGGGTCCTCTAGCCCTGAACACGTTTTGAATACAAGTTGTATTATTATCTTACTTTGACCAGGAGTTCCACAGGCAGAAAAGCTAATTGGTACCAGTTAGCCAGTTTAAATGAAGTCAATGTATCTGCACTTGCCAGTGCCTCCTACGGATGTATCAAGTGTGTGAATTTTGCTGGTTGCTTACACTGAGGAGTGCTCTGCTTGGCCCACAAAGGAAAAACCACTGAAGGCAGATGGATGTCTTAATTAGAAGAGATGACTGGAGCACACAGGCCCTCCTTCTGCCCTCTCTGGTGAACGCTGTTGCTTTTCTTGTTTGCTCTGCAACGGTATGGGAAATTTAAGATTTAGAAACTAAAAATATAATCACAATTATGGGAATAACATGAGACAGTTTTATGTATATTTTATTTATTTAACAGATGCTTTTATCTAAAGCAACTTCTTTTTGAGAAAGCAAGATTAAACAATCCCTGGAGTAACTGGAGTCGTGCCCAAGGGCCCAGCAGTAAAATCAGTCTCCCGAGCCTGGGATTTGAACCAGTGACCATCTGATCACAGGCACGGAGTCCTAATATCATTATAGTAACATTATCAAGTTCTTTATATTTAATTTTCTTCATATGGGTGAAGTAACCTGAAATTTATAGCCATAAAATGCATGTGGTTCATCACTGAATATGGGGCTAACTTTTATTCGCATTATCATTCACATTATAATTCTGTATTTTATGGTGCTGAACTAAATGATACGGTTAAGATTATAATTATAAATCTTCAATGTGTGGTTAAATTGTGGGTCTAATCACAGTGCAGGACTAATCAGAGGTCATCGCTCATGCGCTGGCTCAGACGGCAGTTTTGCAGATGTGTTCTATGATGCTGCTCTTGTCGGGATTCTCCCGAAGCATGTTTTCTCGCATACTGTACAGTAAGTGAAAGCTGAGAGGTGTCACCCACCACTGCACTTTGTCAGACTCTTTTCCCAACCTTTTGACTCCAAGTGAAATTTTCCTTTCTAGTCACATCAAATATAAAAAGTGAGCAAAATACAAAATGAACAGAAAGTATTCACTCCCATTAATCTGTACTCCAAATGAAGTGAATAAGGTTTTATACTCATTGTACATGCCAGGAATGCTGGAGGCTCACACAGTTGCCTTTGTTCCATCCTACCACCGTCCCTGCTAAGGAATAAACAGCTGTCCTCGCTACAGCACAAATTAATCGTCTCATTTCTCATTTATGCTCCACTTTAATAACATTTCTGTAACTTCTTATTCACTGATTTGGTATGTTGATTGTCTCAGCTGGGAACGCCCTGATGAAAATCAGTTTTATTCTGTATTTTATTACATGGTTTTGAAAATGTCGATTTTATACATATGCGTGTATAAACACTCTTGTGAATGCTATGGCAATTGGCATGCAGAGCAGAGTCTAGGGACAGTATGTAATTATATTGTATTGTCCTTATACATGCATGAACACATCTTCTCATCCCACATGGTTGGTTTATGTACCACGTGACCGTAATTAGACCGTGGACCATACAAGGTGTCCACAATTGTAAAGTTTTTATTTGAATCATAGCATTTCTTTAAGTAGCTGATAGTTTCATCTAAAACGGCTTGTAAGTGAGAAAAGCTTGGGATGAGAGAGCAGGATCAGCCAGTATCCAGTAGGCCTGGGTCTGGGGGTGTAAGGGCTTAAGCTCAAGGGGGTTTAAGCTCACGGGTCCAATGATGATACGATTACTCCGGCAGCAATAGCATTCGATCCCCTGGCCACATATAGGTGCTGAGCTATACATCACAACAACTGCATATTATTGTCATTGTATTTTTTTCCATTGGTTTTCTTCCTCAGTCCAAAGACATTTTTATTGAGCCCTCTAAATTAGCCTCTGTGGATGTGTGAGCAAGGTGTATTGGTCTTGTGCTTCCTTGCATAGGCTATTATAACCCTGCATTTGAAAGTAGTTATAATAGATTAATTGATTATTATTCATTTGTGGGTTTTCAGAATGGGAGTTTACAGTGGCATGAATACTTATTCATATATGTATAGTTTTACCTTATGTGTCTTATCAGTTGATTTGTAAAATGAATGGTAAATCTTCATAAGAGCCTGCAAGAGGAATGACCTTAGTTGAGGATATAGCTGATCTCTAACCAGAATTATGTTCTACTACATATGACATGGTCCAGAAGACAAAAGAATCTCTGGTGAGAGACTGAGCGCAGCAGCAACAAAACAAGGCTTCACTCCAGAACCAAATGAAGCGTGGAAGCAGAGCCGATGAATAAGTGTCTGAAGTGTGATAACTTCAGTCTGCAGGCTAGGTGATAATATCAGTTTTAATCATATACTGAAGTTATTGAACTGGAGTGCTGATAATGAGTCACACACTGGGGAACCAAATGAATCCATATGGAATATAAGAATATAAATATCAGTATGGGCTAAACTCTGTCCTGCACACAATCCAATAGACAGAAGTGCATGTCATACAGAAGTGGATTTCAGTAGGACTTCATGTAAGAGGTCGGCCAATCGTAAGAATTTATTTTTCATACTGCGTTACAAAAACATTTCACAGAAAAACACGGACTGATAGATGAGAAGAGGGTGTGAAATGAGAATATGAAGTATGGGTGAATATGGTCAACTAAAAGCACACCGGCATTTGAGCATCTGTGGGCCTGACCTTTCTGAGGGACTCCGGCTCCCGGGGGTCTCATTACTTTGGCTCGGTGCATGTTTGAACGCAGCAGGCGATAGCAACCATTTTGCCTCCCAAAATAGTCATAAGAAACTTGCATTTATCATTTAAGGTATATCACCTCCACATCTGTAAGGCACGTAGTTGAAGGGTGGCGTGGCGGAATTTCCTGGCCCCCATGTTCACCTGACCTGATAGCCATGCACCTTTTGGGGGAGGACATCGCAAAGGAGAAGGTTTTTGAGAGGAAGCCCCACACAGTGGATCGATTGAAGGAGTTCATCTCGCAGGCATTTGTGGACATTGATGCTAACCGGGATTGTGTGCTATGGTGTCACAATGTCAGAGACAGGGTCCAGGAATGTATCAACCTTGACGGACACCTAAGAGACTAAACATAACCCAATTAGTACTGGAAAATAAAAACTGTATACGTACTTTTAAAAATAACTTTGTAAAATAAAAATTTACTTTGTGAAATAAGTACTGTATATCCACTTTTAAAAATAACTTTGTAAAATAAAACCTTTGCTTTGTAAAATAAAGACTGTATACCTACTGTACTTCTGGCCCACCCTGTACATCACTTTAGGCACCTTCTCCCTTTCTTGCTGTGCTTCTGTGATCCCAACAATATAGAACAAACAAAGGAAAAAAAAGTTGGGGAAGATCTTTCTGACACCACTGTGCACGTGCTCCCCCTACTCCCTCTCTCCCCAATCCCAGTGTCCTGAGGGCTTGCGGCCTATGAAGGATGGCTCCGGTTGCTATGACTACTCAAAGGGGACGGACTGCTCCGACGGCTTTAACGGTGGCTGTGAGCAGCTGTGCCTCCAGCAGGTTCTGCCCCTGCCGGATGACCCCTCCTCCAGCAATGTGTACATGTTCTGTGGGTGAGTGCAGCGGGGCCTCCTTAATCTGACTTCCTGCCGTACTTTTCCCAATGCATTTTGCAAATCTGTGTAATTTATAAATATATTTTTGATACATTTGTGTCATTTATAGAGCAATTTTGCATAAATCAAAGATTCTTTGAAGGCCCAGACAGAAGCCATTCTGAAGTAATGTTACCTATGCCGTTGCCAGTAGTTGACATTGACATTATGAGACCTAATAATCAAACTTCTAAAGCTTCTAAGCGGTTTATGCTGATATTATGCTTTCTATACACAGACATAATCATAGATAATCAGAATTAGAGACGCCTGAAGATGCCCATCACTGAATAGATCATATGAATCTGATAGACGCCGTTGTATTTGGTCTGTGATAATTTTTTAAATTATTATTATGGTTGTCTTTTAATTCAGATTTTTTTTTTTTTACTGAGTTATCAGAGTTTGGTCAAGACTATAACTCAGAAATGAAGCACACATGACTCCCTATTTGACAACAGGAAAATGTTCTGGCACCATATGTCAGGACTATAGCTGAAAATGACAGCGTAATGGAGGAATCACAATAGTCTAAAGCTCTCGGTCTGCACTTCATCGCTATGTTCTGCCTTTTTGCTATTCTGTGCTGCCTGGGCCTCACATGCCTTTTTTGTGGAGGAGTAAAGAATGGTGGAAGCTGGTTAATTACTTCCATCCTCTAATTATGTAATAATGTCAGGTGTGTGGAGGAGTACCGCCTTGCCCCAGATGGCCGCTCCTGCATGATGCAGACAGACATGTGTGACAGGCCCTCCTGCCATCGACAAAACACCATTGTGAACAGCACCCTCTTTGGGGAGATGCTGCATGGATACAACAATAAGAGCCAGCAGGTCAACCTGGGCCAGATCTTCCAGATGAGCTTCAGGTAAGGCCCATGTCCACTGTTTCACATGGATGAACTTCAGGTGATTCCAATGTCCAGTGTCAGATGTTACTGACACATTTAAATTTAAAGGCTAATTTATGCGTGTTGTTCAATTACTCTTGTTAATGCATACAAATAGCATTGATACCGGCATAATTATAACAATTTTTACATTTGCTGAAGGTATAAAAATATCTCTATTTTATATAATTATTTCAACTGGGTAGACACTTAGATATAAGGTGTCCACAATACTAAATGTAAAATAATCTTGGGGATAGGAATATACACTGCTGATGATTTAGATGAAACACAGAGAACCACTAGTCGTGTATAAGAAACATGGAGAAAAGATGGAGAAAAACAGATATGAAGCACTGAAGCTAACTTGAACATTGTCAGTTGCCCAGATATTGAAAACCTTGAAAGGAAATAGACAAGGTGAACCCCAATGGTGGCAACATAATCAACACTGAGGCCACAGAGGAAAACTAGCTAGGGCTGAGTTTAGATTAAAGCAAAGCAAAGACATTCCTTTGCACAAAATGTGCAGGTTTGGGATTAATGTCCTAGCAGAGTAGTTAAGACATGAATCTTAGATTTATTTAAGTCAGCACAAAATAAAATTTTATCATCACTTAGATATTAAATATCCTAATGGGAAGTACTGTAGAACTCCTTCTCATTTGCAATAACTCTCTAATGTTCTTATGTTCTTACCTCTGAGGCCAAATGAAAGAGATGCAAGGTGAGCTTCAGAATTAGATTATGCTCACTTTGCAAATGATCAAAGTAACACAGATAAATACTCCCTTGGTTAGTAATTAAAGAAGACAATAACTATATAAATATACAGTACTATTCCTAATGTAAATCTGGAGTCTTCAATCACCCTACAGCAAAATTAACCACATGATAGTGGTCTTACAGGAAAATCTTGTCGTTTTTAAAAGTTAAAAATTTAAAGTTTAAAAGTTCTTCAAGTTGGGTAATTCATGTAATGAAGTTAGTAAGTGATAAGTTGCCTATGGATAAAATGTCGAACATTAGCTACAACACTTGGAAGAATCGGTTAACCGTCGACAAGGTAGATTTAAATTTGATTACTGTATTTATTTATTCATTTTTAAAATTTCCAGATTCTTTTTATTTGCATACTTTCTCATCTGTATGTTAATGAGATGGGCGGCCCTAACATTTTTTTTAAAGCATTGTTGCCCAGGTGACTGTGCTGGTCTGCACTCCATTATCTTGGCTTTGCTTGCATGAGAAGAAATGCTAGCTGACATTATTGTTGGCTAATGACAACTAGCAGAAAAACTGAATCAATGTATGGGCTCTGTCCAAAACACCGATGTGTGCTGTTAGATAAAATGAACAACGTGTGACATATGACTATATGTAAAACCGCTATTTGAGCGCACCAATTACTGTATATTATTTAGGCTCTCATTCTACCAAACCAGTAACCGCATACTACAACCGACGTCCAGAAAAAACGAAATTGAACATTTCAGCGAGAACAATTTGCTGTGTTCGTTCTAATTCGTGAAAAATGTTTTCGCTGCTGCAGACCCTCATACTGAGCGCAAATATTACTGTGGTGAGGGCATGAGTCATTTTAATATAGAAGACGACAGAAAGTTAATCTCTTTATGGACAGCGACACTTTCACGCTAATGTAACGCGCGCATTCCACGGTAAACATTAAATGGTTGCGACATTTTCTACTTACAAAATAAATACACATATTAATTGACACTATTTACACATACGCGCGGTGTGGTATGAAGTATGCTGGTAACCGCATAAGTATGCTGTCCACCCCTTTGGCATCACTTAATGTCAGCCACCTCAGGGAGCCTGTACAAGGTGCTCGGAAACGGCGATCATCTCTCATACGGTGCCGTATTGCTGGAACAACGTCAATTACTTCGATTTCCTATAAATGATGTGGGCATCTAGTGTTCAAGCTGCTCAGCCACTTCCCTTAGCACCACAGATGCTGGATTCCTTTTGGAAGCCATTGTTTGACTGGAGACGAGCTAAAACAACTAGTCGATCAGTTCTGTTGCTTTTGCCTGGTTTGGCCAATAGTGCTTTAGGAAAAGGTTAGGGCTGCCCGCCTCATTAGCATACAAATGAATAAATAAGTCATTAATAAGTAAGTAATTCTTATTTATTCATTTATTCTACAGATTTATTTATTCATTTATTTATGTAAATTATCTATCTATCTATCTATGCCAAAGATTATTTTATGAATTGGTTAATTTATTTTTAAGTCTCTTTTCATCCTCCATAGTTGTATAGCAGAGTGTTGCTGGATTTAAATTAGATTAGCTCTTTTTGCAGTGTTTTATTTTGCAGATCCTTGCAGAAAGAAAAAAATAAAGACAATCAGTCTGTCTAGTGCACAGATGTGTCATCCTCTGAAGAACTAAATCCCCTAGAGGGATGTCAGTTGTGCTTCGTAAGCACAGCCATATTCCATAGACTGTATCCTATCGACAGTTTCGTGACAAATGTCAGGGTAGGATGCTCTAGTGATTTCCAAATTTTATATAGTAATATGAGGGTAGAATTACCTTTCATGTAGGTCATATATATGTTTGGCCATGCTTGTGTGTGTATATATATTCTGTGCACTATTCTATATGCTTGCTATTATATGAAATGGAAGAAAAGACAATATATAAATTATGTATAGTGTATCTATGTGGAAAATTGTTAAATACAATATGAAAAAAGCTGTCATTTAAATTTAATAGGTTTATGATTGTTTTCTCAGTGCTGCTTAAATGTTTAAAATATATAATCTTTTCTGAAGAATAAAATAAGAATACAGCACCGTGCAGAGGGAGCGTTTGATCCAATAAGGCATGTGATAAAACTGCGAAAGGAGGTGCGGAAGATTTATCGGTGCTGCTTTGTAACAAGAGCAGCTTATCACCTTCCCCCCATATATTCAGCAGGATATTCCATTGGAACAGTTGAGGTTAAGTACCTTTCTCAAGGGTACAGCAGATAGTCCCCACCAGGGACCTGCACTGACAGCTTTTACGTAATGTGTCTTTGTCCTTAAGCGCCATCTTTCTCTGTGCTGGCTGGTTATAGGTTCAGGCCCTTGAAGGAGCTCTGCTGGTGTACTAATTCAGAATCATTTTGGCTAATTTTCTCACTGTATAGCTCAGTACAGCACCCTGTACCTGTGCTCAGAAGGTCGCTGGTTCAAATCCCAGTGTGATTTTTACCCTTGGTCCCTTGAGCAATGCTCTTGACTTACAATTGCATCTGCTGTATAAATGTGAATATAACTGTAATTTTAAATATAAATTGCAAAAGTTATGCTTCTCAGATTTTAACACCAATTAAAATACTTCTGTAACATTTGTACTGAACTTTATAGCTAAGAATATCTGCTTAGGCATGGAGAACTTTCCCCTAATGCAATGTCAAAAAAAAGCTTCTGACTGGATTTACAAAAAAAAAAAAAAAAGTCATAAAATAAGATATTCAGGAGGTCTCATAAGCCACAGTTTGAATGTTTGGAATGTTGTGTCAGACACTGTTTGATTTTTCTCCTTTTACTTTTTTTTCCTGTCACTTTCCTGTTTCATGTGTAAACAGAATAAATATTAAGTTACATTCCTTTTAGACACATTTACCTTACAGTACATGCAGCTGTTTAGCCATTATGCAGTGACAGTCTTTTCATGCTCTTTGTCATCACTCATTGTCAGTGTGAGATACAAAAATTTGCTGGGTTTAGTATAAAATTTGCCATTTGTGTTTAATCATTGGCTTCCATTACGCAAAAGTTCTCTGCTGTCTTTCTGAAGCCATTCCAGTGGTTTATAGATCATGGTGTCACAAGTATAGTGCTGTGGTATAATAACATTTTCTTGGATATTTTGATGCCCCTGCTTTACAGTTGTAATGCATTCATGAAGTGAAAGTGATTGTCATTGTTGACACACAACAAAAAATGTGTCCTCTTTGTTTGACCCATTTGTAACATTGCAGCATGCAGCACCTGGGGAGCATTGCATGGGGGTGGTGCTTTGATGGTCAGGGATTTGAACCAGCAACCTTCTGAACACAATCCTGCTTTCCTAACCATTAGGGCACCACTGCCCTCACACAGATTTAACTCTAGATTTAACGTACTAGTGACAGCAATCTCGTATAAGACTGTTATGACCTAAAACTCCTCAGCAACCAACCAGAAGCAACCAGACTCAGACACTTTCTTGAACCTAAAAATAGACACATAAACCAATTTAAAAATTTGAAATTGTGTCTTGTAAAAATACGGTTTCAAGCAGGATTCTTACAGAAGATGCTAAACTAGGCATTGCCCTCAATTCCCTTATTCTCTGGTTACACAGTTGTTTGGTGTTCTGATGAGCCCTGGGGGGTATTTTCCGTACGTCGCTTAAATCAACCGAGATCAGATGCGTCATCTTGGATGAGTTAATGCCAGTGAAACATCTGGGATAAATCGGTTTTTCAAACGCAGCTGTGTAGTAGATTAGTCTAGCTGGATCCATTCATCCGAGATGATTGCGCGCATCTGCGCTCCTTGAAAAGCCCATGTGTATCAAGTCTAGAAAACTTGATCAGCAAGTCTTTGATAGGCTGCAATGAAATGACGAACAGAAGGGTGCACCTTTTCACACAAGCGGAGCAGGACCGCGCATTAGAAGGATATGAAGAACTTCAAGAACTAATTTGCACAAGGGATAACACATACAGCAAAAGCAGCCCAAACCAGAAAAGACAGCTGGCAAAAAGTGGCCAACAAATTAAATGCGGAAGTAGTGTTCATTGTACTTACTGAATGAATCATTTCCTATGTGTCAGATTAATTATTATTCAGTATGTCATAATTCCAAGTCAAACATAAGCACAATGAGAACATGGGAACAGGTTAAAGTGAAGTACAAGAATATACTTCAAACTGGTAAATATTGATATATAACTATTTAAAGAATTGT